AAGCCACATAACACCAAAAACTCCTTGGAATTTGGCTTCCTCTGGAGGAATTCCCTGATCCCTCCAGGTAGTGACTTTGCTATAACCAGCTGAGTTCTTATGATATATTCCTGCCGCCTGCAGCATATGTGATTCTTATCACCCCTCCATTTGACCCTGGAAGCCTGGTTTTGCACTGTTAAGGGAATACTCCTTGTAAGTGTATATATACCAGGACTCCCAGGGCAGGTGAAGGACAGAGAAGAGAAAAGAGATGGGAAGAACAAGATGGGTAAGAACTTGAGAGGAACAAACTGAGATGGGGAAGAACTAGATTGAAGGGCTAGAAGAGAGGACTAGAGGAACGAGATGGAAGATGAGGAAGAGCCAGATGAGAGAGGAGATGGGAGAGGAGCTGATAGGGGAAAGAACTAGATGGATGAGAACCTAGAAGGGGCAGAAGTAGATGAACCTAGAGGGGACAACACATAAATGTATGGAGAAATTGGGCAAGAAAGGAGCTTAAAATGAGAGCAGAGTATAAGCTTATAGAGAGAGTAGTGACAGAATAATAAAGTGTATGGACTAAGGAATTTCGTGTACATAGATTCATTTCTTCAAAGATTAATTATCAGCTGGTTGTAGATTCTTCCCGGACCCTGGGAGGGAACTGTTGAGGGGCTGGACCCCCATAGTCACCAATATTCTGCCTCATCCAAAATTGCTATGTGTGGTGGAGTGGTCTATATGAGTTAACCTGGCCTGGGGAGATGGCTCAATGGTGAAGTGCTTGTTGCAGAAGCCTGGGGTCCAAGTTCTGATCCCTAGAGTCCATGTAAAATTTAAGTGTGACTGCTTGTCTGTAATCCCAGCACGTGGGAAGCAGAAATGATCCCTGGAGTAAGCTGGCTCACCAGAATAGCCGAAACTGAGCTTCAAGTCCAGTGAGAGACCCCGCTTTAGTATGCAAGGTGGAGAGCAATAAGAGAAGACACCCAGCCGGGCGGTGGTGGCGCACGCCTTTCATCCCAGCACTCGGGAGGCAGAGCCAGGCGGATCTCTGTGAGTTCGAGGCCAGCCTGGTCTCCAAAGCGAGTTCCAGGAAAGGCGCAAAGCTACACAGAGAAACCCTGTCTCGAAAAACCAAGAAAAAAAAAAAAAAAAACCAAAAAAAAAAAAAGAGAAGACACCCAGTGCCAACCTTGGGCCACTGCATGACAGTGCACAAATGTGTACCCACATGCACACACACACACACACACACACACACACACACACACGAAGAAAGGGGAAAGTCAGCCTTTGGAATGCTAGGGAGATGGCTTAATTGGCCTTGTGTGTGCCACACAAGCAGGAAGTCTCAGGTTTGCACCCATGTGAAAACCCAGTATACCTATAATCCTGGTGGTGGGTGGGGACATGGAGACAGGCAGATCCATGAAGCTTGTTGGCTGGCCAGCCAACTTATCCCGTTTGATGAGTTTCGGGTGCAGTGAGAGGCCCCATTTCCATAATAAAGGAGATGGAAATGCCCAAGGAGGACGCCTGAGGCAGACTTGTGACTGCCAGTGTTGATAGAATCTCATCCAAAATGGCACATGTGGTCTATGGGAGTTAAGCCTGGGCTGGGGAGATCACTCAGTGGCTTAGGCATGGGTGCTCACACCTCCAACTGTACATAGCCACACAAACAAGTACACAATATGGCACAAAGGTAAGCCATTGGGGGCTAGGACTGGGGCTCACTGAAAGAGTGTTTGCCTTGAATGGGTAAGGTCCAGAGTTTGATACCAGCACCATTAAAACAAATAATAAAGAAAACTATGTATTATGGTTAGCCAGGTGGCTCGGTGGTTAAGAGTACTAGCTGCTCTTACAGAGGACCCAGGTTTCAATTCTCAGCACCTATATAGCTGCTCACAACCACCTATAACTCCATTTCCAAAGGATCTGACACTGTCTTCTGGCCTCTACAGGTATTAGGCATACATGCTGGTAAAATACCTTACACATAAAAATAAACTTAAAAAATTAAAATGTTTTTATTTTGGATTAGGTGTTGTGTGTGTGCGCAAGTATGAGCATATGTATAAACAGTGCAGGTACCTACAGAGGCCAGAGGAATCAGATCTACCTGGAGCTGGAGTACTAGGAACTGAATGTGGGTTCTGTGTAGGAGCACCAAGTGCTGTTAACCACTTGACCATCTCTAGCCTCACTGCAGGGTTTTCAAAGAAAGCATTTAGGAGAGATTACTTTGGCTGTGGTCTGGAGTAGTATGGGCGGAGGTGCAGAATGTCAAAGGTGAGGGCGGTGTGGACAAACTGGTCCCCATGGTAATGGTATTTACTTAAAGGAATAAGTAGGCATCTGCCTCAGCCTCCCAAGGGTTGGAGTCACAGACATGCACTATGCCCAGTGCCCAGATCATTCCTGTTTTGTTTTCTATTAAAAATATATAGCGCCGGGCAGTGGTGGCACATGCTTTTAAACCCAGCACTCAGGAGGCAGAGCCAGGATCTCAGTGAGTTCTAGGCCAGCCTGGTCTACAGAGCGAAATCTAGGATAGGCACCAAAACTACACAGAGAAACCCTGTCTTGAAAACAACAGCAACAAAAAATATGTAGCAAAACTCTTGCATGAGTCTGGTTTCAATCTTTATGACTACAACAATTAATAAATAAATAGGAAAAGCTTCAGAGGGCTGGGGATGTGGCTCCTTGTGGCAGAGTGCTTGCCCAGCATGTGTGAAACACTGCTGAGCTCTATCCTCATCTTTCCTGACTTGATTTTGAACTTGCAGGAAGAGTCTTTGTTTTAAGAAGATTGATATTGGGGCTGGAGTGCTGGCTCAGAGGTTAGGAGCACTGGTTGCTCTTCCAGAGGACCTGGGTTCAGTTCCCAGCACCCACATGGTAGCTCTCAACTCTCTGTAACTCTAGTTCCAGGGGATCCAACACCATCACACAAGTATATACATACAGGAAAAACAATGATGTCCATAAAATAAAAATAGATAAAAGAAAGATGATTGATATTATAATAACATATAAATTAGACCTAACAAGCACATAATTGCTGTTTTTTAAAAAAGATTTTGAAGGACTTATTTTTGTTTTTGCACATCTGAATGTTTGGTTGGAGCCTCCAGCTCCCCCCTGCACAGTTCAGAAAGTCCCATTTCTCTGTCGTCTGTCTCTCTCTCCCCCCTCTCCAAACCCCCTCCACACAGAGAATCTCTGAACAAAGGGAAGGCACCAAAAAGCCCAGTTCTGCATTCTTGGGGGCTCCTACTGCTTCCTCTCCTGGAGTTGCCAGCAGCTCAAATCCGTCTAAATGCTCAGTTCTTGGGGACAAACCCAGCTTGTGGTGGGCACGTCATCACCCCTCACCTACCGCTTATAAAATCTCCCTGCTATAGTTTGGGGGCAAGACTTCTCTGGCCTCTGGAGAACCCACCTGGAAGTTGCTTTGCTCAATATACCTGTTATACTTTTCCTTTCGGCTTGATCCGGCTTCCTGCACTGGTGGAGAAACTTATTTGGGGGTGGGGGAGCAGAGGAAACCCTGTTAGTGAGTAAATATATGTGACGTGTGTGCATGTCCCTGAGTCCTGAAGAGGGCGTCTGGCTCCCTTGGAGCTGGAGTTACAGATGATTGTGAACCACAGAATGAGGTTGCAGGGTCACCTGAAAGAGCAGCACATACTTTTCATCACTGAGCCGTCTCTCCAGCTGCCATTTAGCTCTTGACAGGGTCTTACTGTGTAGCCCTGAGTAATCTGAAACTCACTATGCAGGTCAGACTCGCATGTCTGTCTGCCTCCGCCTCCTCAGTGCTTCAGAGATTTTTTTTTTTTCATTATTTTTTTTTTTTTTCAAGACAGGGTTTCTCTTGTAGTTTTGGTGCCTGTCCTGGAACTCACTCTGTAGACCAGGCTGGCCTTGAACTCACAGAGATCCACCTGGCTCTGCCTCCCGAGTGCTGGGATTAAAAGCATGTGCCACCATCGCCTGGCCATTTTTTGTTTTTTTTTTTTGTTTGTTGTTTGTTTGTTTGAGACAGCATTTGTCTGTGTAGCCCTGGCTATCCTAGAACTCACTCTGTAGACCAGGCTGATCTAGAACTCTGAGATCATCGTACCTCTGCCTCCTGAGTGTTGGGATTAAAGGCGTGGGCCACCACCACTTGACCTTAGTAGTTATCTTCAGAAGACCAAAGTACACATACACGCCTACACACATAAGTTTTTCTTTTGTTTTTTTTTTTTTTTTTTTTTTTTTTTGGTTTTTCGAGACAGGGTTTCTCTGTGTAGCTTTGCGCCTTTCCTGGAACTCACTTGGTAGTCCAGGCTGGCCTCGAACTCACAGAGATCCGCCTGGCTCTGCCTCCCGAGTGCTGGGATTAAAGGCGTGCGCCACCACCGCCCGGCTTTTCTTTTGTTTTTTTTAGATGTACTGGGGGTAGAACCAAGAGCCTTGGAAGTGCTAGGCAAACCCTTTTACTACTGAACTACATACTTGGTCCTTTTATTACACTTATAATTTTGAAACAGTGCTTACTGAATTGTCCAGGCTAGCTTCAAACTATGATCCTGCTTCAGCTTCCTAGCTGGAGTTACAGGCCAGCCTCCTAGGCCTGGCCTCCTTCTCTGTCAGAATGTAGAACTGTTTTAGCATCGTTTGGTGAACAGTATAATGATGTTAATATTTATTAAGCCAGGTGTGGTAGTGTCTGCCTGTAATACCAGCACTTGGGAGGCTAGCTGAGGGAAAGGACTGTGAGTCTAGCCTGGACTACATAGTTAGATGCTGTCTGAAGAAACCAAAAAGGAAAACAAAACAATTAGTACTATAGCTCTTAGTTTGCAAAGTGATTGGGTACTTTGTGGTATAAATATAAATCCGCAGTATAAATCCACAGAGTAAGCTAACTAGGGTCTTGAATAAATGAAGGCTGCTAATCTTATAACACCAGGGTTGGCTTCAGTTGCATGTTAATCCCATGTGTTTCATTGAAGGTCTCAAGATTCTGCCCTCCAAGACAGTCTTGCCATGATTGGATAGGACCCCCAGATAAATATTCAAACCTTCGTCCGGTTCATTTTCATATTCCTGAAAACGAGTCCCCCTTGGAACAAAGGCTTAGAGAATTGAGACAAGAAACACAAGAATGGAACCAGCAGTTCTGGGCGAACCAGAATTTGAGTTTTAACAAGGTAAGTGTGGGATTTAGGTCCATGAAGAACAACACCCTCACCACTTGGGGGTGCTAAATCCCCAGCGTTTGTGTTGCTACTGTTCTGTTTGTTTTGATGCACTCCTTTAATCTCAGCACCTGGGAGTCAAAGGCAAGAGGATCTCTAGTTCAAGACCAGCCTGGTCTTCGTAGTGAGCTCTAGACTAGCCTGAGCTACATAGTGAGACCTTGTCTCTAAATAAATAAAATAAAAATCTTTTGTTTTAAGCCATTGTGTAACTGTATGGAAGACACCTTGCCGAGTCATAAGTCACAGAGTTTGAGGCTTTCTGGGAAGAGAAGTAGCAAGGGGCCAGGACTGACTCCTGTCCTGAATGGTATTCCTGTTCATGAGAAGTCACTGTCATAGGTTGTCACTTATGAGAGCTCATGATTTTATTTATTTGTTTTTATTTTTTAGACAGAGTTTCTCTGTGCAGCCCTGGCTGTCCTGGAACTCTCTGTAGACCAGGCTGGCCTCAAACTCACAGAGATCTGCCTGCCTCTGCCTCCTGAGGGCTGGGATTAAAGGCACACACCATCACTGCCTGGTGAGAGTTCAAGATTTTTAGTGACTTGCTCATAAGCTGCCTGAGAAACAAGTGTAAATATCCTAATGGAGAAGGAAATATAAATGGATTCTTTGTTGTATTCTGTGGCTACAACTTCCCAAATGCATTGAACATCTTGTTTTCAAGTCCTCTTTCAAGCTGGGCATGGTGGCGGCACACACCTGCTATCTCAGCACTCTGGATCGTGAATTCAAGGCTGGTCTCTACTACACATCAGGTTTGAATCCATCCTGGGTTATGTGAAAGTTTCCAGTGCCAGCAAGAAACTTTAACCAGATTGGGTGGCTTAAAACAAGCTCTAGCCGGGCGGTGGTGGCGCACGCCTTTAATCCCAATACTCGGGAGGCAGAGCCAGGCGGATCTCTGTGAGTTCGAGGCCAGCCTGGACTACCAAGTGAGTCCCAGGAAAGGAGCAAAGCTACACAGAGAAACCCTGTCTCGAAAAACCAAAAAAAAAAAAAAAAAAGAAGAAGAAGAAAGAAAAAAACAAGCTCTAACGGCAGCTGGAGAGATGGCTCAGAAGTTAGAGCACTGGCCGATCATCTAGAGGACCATTTTCAGTTCCCAGCACCCACTTGGCAGCTCACAACTGTAACTTGTTCCAGGGGGTCCAGTGCCCTTTTTGGCTTCCTCAGGCACTGTGTGTGCATACAGACACATACATACATAAAATAAATCTTTTTTTTTTTTTAAAGTGGGCTTTGAGCTGTGATGTTCCTCAGGAAATCTACCACAAATTTCTCAGTATTGTGCTCTAGCTGAGAGAAGCAGGAAGCTAGAGAAGACATTCTCTCTTTCTCCTTTTGTTTTTGGTATGGGATTAAACCTAGGGCTTTGCACTAGGCAGGTGCTCTTCTAGTGAGCTACAATTCCAACCTGCTTTAATTTTTGCCTTGGGCTGGAGTCATGTTAAGTTGCCCAGGGTGCTTCATACTTTCATACTCCTGCCTCAGCCTCCCGAGTAGCTGGGTTACAGGTATGCACCACCGTTCCTGCTAAGAAGAGAGTTGTTTGCTGAGTTTTAATTTCTTTTTTCCAAGACAGGATTTCTGTGTGTTGTTTTGGTGCCTGTCTTGGATCTTGCTCTGTAGACCAGGCTGGCCTGGAACTCACAGATATCCACCTGCCTCTGCCTCCTGAGTGCTGGGATTAAAGGCCTGTGCCACTGCTGCCTGGCTAATTTTTTTTCTTATTGATGTTTTGAGACAGGGTCTCATGTAGGCATGGTGGGCTCAGTCTTGTAGCTGAGGATGACCTTGACCTGATCCCCTTGTCTCTAGTCCTCAAGTTCAGGGAGTTCAGGCATGTACTAAACGCCTGGCTAAGAGTTCTGATGGTCATCTTTCAGGAAAAAGAAGAATTCATTTGCTCAAGACTGCAAGCTAAAGGCTCAGTCCTGCGAACCAAGTCAGGTTAGTACGTTTGTGCTGTGTTACTGTTGAAAGAAAGGTTGTTGAATGAAGGGGCATAATAGGTTTCTCTGCCTGTGCAGTAAGCCAGATCAACTCAAACTGAAAAAGTATGACAACAGGTTTATTTGAGCAAAGCACCTCCTGGGTGAATTCTCCAGTCCCAGAGATTGAGGCCGGAGAAGCCACGCGCCTGAACTAAAGCAGGGACATTATATAGTTTGTAGACAAGGGGTGATGACATATCTGCTGCAAGCTGGGTTTGTGCCCGAGTATAATCAAAAGCTAAATGCTTTAGGTGGGGATTTGAGTGTCTGGCAACTTCAGGTAGCCCCCAAGAATGCAGTACTGGGCTTTTTGGTGCCTTCCCTTTGTTCAGAGATTCTCTGTGTGGGTGGGGTTTGGAGAGAGACAGGAGTGGGGCTTTCTGGATCATGCAGAGGTGAGCTGAAGGTTCCAACTAACGGGGAAGCAGAGGGCAGACAGCCTCTGTGTCCTTTACTTGCTGTCTTACTCGCCTTTGGAAACTTACTTTCCTGTGTATATGTGTACCTATGTGTACCATCAGGCTTCCCACCAGCTCCCGGCTCCCTCTTCTCTCTTCTTCCTTCAGGTGATGTCACAGCCTCTCAGAGTTTAGGTCTTCCTTTCTCATTTCATTTTCTTTCTTCTGTATGGTGCTGGGAATGGAAGCCAGGGCCTTGAGCATTGTAGGTAAGCACTCGGCCATTGGACTGCACAGCCTTTGTCTTTCTGATGAGCGACTTCAGAGGAAGGTCATGAGGCCTCTGAATCTCCCAACCCTCCCATCTTCCCAGCTCTTCCTGGATTCCTGAGTCCGTTCTCACGCCCGACAGCAGAGCTGTCTCATAGCCTTCCTCGAGTCAGGCCGTGGAGCTGTGTTCCCCAGCACTTTTGCTTCCCTGTTTTGTAACAGTTGTTGAAGTTCAGACCCCTGTTAATTCTCTCTCCACTGCAGCTTTTCAGTTTTCCCCAACTTCTGATCTTTTTTATTTGTTTGCTTTGTTTTTTGAGGCAGGGTCTCACTTTGTAGCTTCTCTGACTGGCCTGGAACTCATTCTGTAGACCAGGCTGGCCTTGTGTGGAAGTCCAGCTCTTACCTTTTGAAGGTTCTTAGGTGGAGGAGAGAGGAATTAAGAAAATATCAGAATGAGTGACCTAGACGACAAGAAGAAAAACACAGGATAGCTTCGGGAGGGCCTGGGTCAATACCCAACTGCCACTTTGTTTATTCAGAAGGACTTTTTATAACAATGCCAAGGGGCGGGGCAAAAGACCTCCCCTTGCAAAATCAAAGCACACCATACAGCCAAGTGTAGACCCTTCTAAACACCTGGTAACGACTCCCGTGACCAAGTCATCTTCTTATGCAGCCCTGCTGGGTAAAGCAAGCCCAGATTCTCTGACCCTGAGTAAGTTCTCACTAGATATCCTCTGTGGGCTCCCACCGCCTGAACTCACAGAGATCTGCCTGTGTCTGCCTCCTGAGCTCTGGGATTAAAGGTATACAACACCACACCCAGCCCCAGCCAGCTTCCAGTCTTTAAAACAGAAGCTAGCATACTTTTCTCTGTAAAGGGCCTTTGTGGTTACCTGGGTATCTGTTGGCACTATTCAGCATGCTGTAAAGAATACACACAGAGCCGGGCGGTGGTGACGGTGCATGCCTTTAATCCCAGCACTCTGGAGGCAGAGCCAGGTGGATCTCTGTGAGTTCGAGGCCAGCCCGGGCTACCAAGTGAGTTCCAGGAAAGGCGCAAAGCTACACTAAGAAACCCTGTCTCAAAAAACCAAAAAAAAACCCAAAAAAAAAACCACAGAGAGAACTTGGGTTAATTTACAAAAAATAGATTTGACCTCTAAATGTTCTTTGTCAACCCCTGCTTTAAGCCTGTTCTTTGCACTGTAACTAGACTATTCTACCCAAAATGCATACCCATACCCCCTTTGTGGGCTGCTGTTGTAGTTGTTGAGACAGTGTCTCACTATGTAGCTTTGATTAGCCTTCAATTCAGAGATCTGAAGTGCTGGGATTAAAGTGGCTATCACGCCTAGCCCTCACCACAGGCTTTTGGCCTCTGTGGCCACAGAACAGCTCCACTACCTCACATCTTGGTCTTTGTCCATCTCCTAGGATGGGAAAATAGACCACAGGCTGATGGATTTGCTTGTTTGCTTTTTGTTTGGTTGGTTTTTGGTTTTTTGAGACAAAGTCTCACTATGTAGCTGGGGCTGGCCTTGAATTCATGATAGTCTTTCAGTCCCAGCCTCTCCAGCACCGAAATTAAAAAGGGTTGCCACCATACCTGGATTGCCATTTCTTTTGCTTAAAATAGCGTTGGCCAGCCAGGTGGTGGTAGTGCACATCTTTAGATTATTATTATTATTTTTAATACAGGGTTTCTCTGTAGTTTTGGTGCCTTTCCTGGCTCTTGCTCTGTAGACCAGGCTGGCCTTGAACTCACAGAGATCCTCCTGCCAGCCTGGTCTACAGAGTGAGATCCAGGACAGCCAGGGCTACACAGAGAAACCCTGTCTCTAAAACCAACCAACAGCAACAACAAAAATGAAAATAGCCTTGGCCGTCTTCTCTTAGTGTCGAAGCCTTAACGACATTCCATACTGTTTGTTAAGCAGACGCCTACTGTCAGAGTATTCTGATGAACAGTTCAAAACCACTAACCTCCAAAGCCAAGTCTATCATTGGGTTAAAAGGGCCATCACCCTCTGCTAATCCCTAGCCTGTCCTGGTTCCCCAGAGGAAAAGCTGAGGGGTAGTGGTTGGAATGCTAGCCCCCACTTTTATTGCTCTGTGCTGACAACTGGTGTCTTAGTGGGTCAGCAAAAGAAGAGGGTGCTGCATCCTAACACTGAGTGTGGGAGTGAGTGGTGGGCCAGTTTGTCCTGATTGAGTGCCAGGCACTGTGCTGAGTCCTTCGCATGTATCAACCACAAAGACCAAATACTGTGTGATGAACCTGAGGCTTAACTGCGGGTGACTACCCAGCCTGAGACCACACAGTGAGAAAGGAGGCTAGGTTCTGCTCAAGGCAGTCAGATCTGAGGACCTTGCTGATCTCAGCAGTTCTCAGTTCAGCCTCGTGTGTGTGTGTGTGTGTGTGCGTGTGTGTGGTGTGTGTGTGTGTGTGTGTGTGTGTGTTCTCCCTCCCCCCCCAACACTCACACTTATGTGGTAAAGGGGTGTCTGTGGTCTACCAGATGGTGGTATCAGGTCAGCTTATACTGTGGTATTGCATTAGCGATCGGCCATTCTTCTAACAGGAGAATTGCTTTGACTCTTGTGAACATGACAATCTTATTAGTGACTCTGCTGTGTACTGAAAGAATGGTCTTAAGTAACATTTGTAATTAATTTGGCAATGGAAAAGGACAGACTGTATGTGGAAAGGGACAGCACAGAATCACCACCCTGGCAATATTCAGAGTCACGTGGAGCGTATATGATCCCAGTTGGGTGGGAGCAACATGGTTAATTAGGTGTTTCTGGAAACTGCTGAGCATGGATGTCAAGTTGCTCACCACAATGACAGCTCTGGGGAGATTCACGTCAGCTAGCTGGATACAGCCGCTCTATAATGTATACGTACTTAAAGACACCATGTTCTGTCAGGTGAAACAAGAGTTACCAGCTGCAGCAGTTGAAATGGGGGGAGCACAGTAGGAAAGACAACTCAGCTGTCCAGAGCACACTTAGGCTGAGAAATGCTTAGCACACGGGCTCTCTAGAGGCTCCCCGGAGCGGAAGGGAAAGGAGGTTTTCTAGTAAGTTACATTGGAAAAATGAACTGCTTTTGACATAAAAGAAGAAAAAAACTAGGTTTATTCCTCTTAGAATACACATTCCAAATAATGTTTTAAAGTATTGGGTATCAGTTTCTGATAGACTTCAGAGCTAAATTCAGCATTTCTAGTGATAGAAAGTCAAGTTGAGCCAGACAGTGGTGGCACATGCTTTTAATCTCAGCACTTGGGAAAGGCAGGCAAATGTCTGTGAACTCGAGGCCAGCCTGGTTTCAGGACATTCAGGATTGCACAGAGAAACCCTGTTTTGAAAAACAAACAAACAAACAAAAAATCATGGAGCTGGAGAGATAGCTCAGTGGTTAAGAGCACTGGCTGCTCTTTCAGGGGACCTGGGTTCAATTCCCAGCACCCACATGACAGCTCGCAACTGCCTGTAACTCCAGTTCCAGGGTTTCTGACACCCTCACACAGATAGATGTACATGCAGGCAAAACACCAGGAAACATAAAGTAAAAATAAATTGTATATATTAAAAAAAAAAAAGACTCAGTTTTTCAATGGATGGGACCTAGGTCCCAGAGTTCCCGTGGAAAGCACACAGCAGTGATCCAGGGGCCTCCTACTCATCTCCACATCCTAAAGATTATACCATCTGCATCTGAGGACACAGACATTTTAGACCCAAACATCAGCAGCATGGGGACTGAAAGCATCTGACCAGCTGGGGCCCTGTTGTGGGGACTTCCCAGCAGGCGCTGACTGAGCAGGCTCGGTGGATGTTGAGGACCTGGGCATCCTAGGACTCCTTCCTAAAACTCCTCTCCTGAGCTGTCTTGCTCTTTTGCTTGGTGTACTCTGGCCTTCTGCCTCCCTGTTTATTCTTCTGTCCAGTGATGCCAAACCCCAGGGCCAGCTTTCAGCCATGTTGGGCCTTGGATCAGCAGACAGAGATGGGATTGTGTTGAATGAGCCTGGCTGCTGCCATGGAAACGGGATGGAGGAGGCCCAGAGGGGTGGCCAGACAAAGGGGTCAGTGTCCAGGAAACACACACAGTTCACCATGAATGGCAGATGGGTGGTGTTTGTAGCCAAGATGACATGGGCCACTGGGATTTTTAAACAGACTGCAACAAATTTGCCTTAATAAGAACACCTATGGACAAGTGACTGAGTGTGCAAAGAGGGAGCTGCTAGCTGTAAACAAATAGTGCTTCCAAGCATGGGGAGGCAGTCTGTGCTTTCTGAATTCATAGGGAAGTGTTCACTCAGGCCTGGTAGAGTTGCTTTGGTGGCTGGTGGCAGCCTGAAGTCCCTAGCCCTTTTCTAGGATCTAGTGTACCCATTATGACATAAAAGAAGCAAGCAAGCAGTAACCACGAGCCATCTCTAAGAAGTCCTTATGGGACAAACAGTGAGTTCAGCAAGTGTTCCTAACAGGCTTTCTTTAATTGCAAAGTGGGGATGTCTAGATGCCCAGTGATTGCAGACTAGGTAGACAGCTGGCCACCTGCTGGCTGAATGTTCTGCCAATTCTGCTGCTGTGTGGGAAAGTCACCGACTGACTCCAAGTGCAGGAAGCAGAAGCCCCTGATTTCAGTTGTTGACAGTGGTCAGGGAAGGGTTCCCCCCCTTTCCTTGACTGCACAAGTGTTGGTGCATTCAGAAAGAGGGAGCCATGGAGACAGACCACTCTGTCAGATGGCGTTTGTGAGACACCCACACATTTTCAGCAATGATGCAAGGAGTTGATTTTTTTCCTTCTCCACACCTCCATTATGGCTCTCTTCCTCCTCCCCCTCCCTTCCTGTTCCCAACCCTTCTCTTTACCCTTCTTCCGGCTCCAGTGTTCTTTATGTTCAATAACAAGAGGCAGAGATGGCGGGGGTGGAGCAGAAATGACTTGGCAAGTATTGATGGGGTTCCTGCTGTCTGATCACTGGCCTGAGGTGTTGGGGTGAGGTGACCCTAGGTCTGAGAGCCCCTGGGGGAAGCATCAGGTGTGGGCAGCTCTGCCCGCCTCCACCCTGCAGTTGACTCTTCCCCGTGCATACTGAATGCAGTAATGACAAGCCCACCTAGATCCCCTCACCTCTCCACTACTGCCAAGCCTCGGAGACACCTGTGAGAGCTGTGCTGTGGTGATCCGCTGAGATGGGGAAAGGACGAAGGGAGAACACAGTTCGCATCTGCATGGCCCACGGGAGAGCCTGTCCCTCCAGTGAAGCAGCTTGTGCTGCTGTTGCTAGGGGAACAGCTTTCCTGTTTTGACAGTCCCTCTCCCTGTGAAAGGCCCAGAGATGCTGCTGGAGGAGAGGGCACACCCTTCTCTAAGATCAGCTAAGACTGCCACCCCGAAAGTGTCTCTGCACTGGGCTTCATCCTGGTGCCCTCCAGTCTGGTCCTCCTTTTCCCAGCTGCCTGTGTCTATCCTTTGAGACCAGCTTAGGTATCACCTTCCCTGGAACCTTTGGTCTCCCTTCCCTCTCAGGAGACAGGTACTCTCCACTTGATGTGAGTAACGTCTGTCTTCACAGAGGCATGCCACTGGCCACTGGGAGAGGGTGGGTGGAGCAGGACTTTGATCCTGCCCTTGGGAGCTAACAAGCCCACAGAGCAGGGTCAGCATGCAGGTGGGTGTGCTGTGGACACAGCGTATGGACCCTGGGAGAAAACTAGCAGGAAGTTAGGGAGGGGGTGGGCTCCTGTCAGTGTGCATGTTTGTGTGTGTGGGGGGGTGTGGCGGGATGTTCTCAGAAGAGTCCTTTAGGTGGAGGGTACAGCAGAAAGGCGGAGCCAGAAACAAGCAGTGTGAATAGAGTTCTGTGTGGTCAGCACGTGGGTACCACAGCTGAGCTCACGAGGGCTTGACCCGTCCTCTGTGTGTTAGCACACATACCATTGCCTGCGTCGTGCAGTACACAGGCCCAGAAGATGACAGGTCATCCGCACCTGCCTGGTAAGAGGCAGGCTGTGCTTGAACACAGAAGTGCGGCTGAGGAGAAGTGCCGTCTTGAGAGCTGTCCTCAGCGTAGGGCTGTCCAGGCAGGGGTGGGCCTGGAGGAGGGTGCCCTTGGTTCTCTCATGCTGTGACGACTGTGTGCGTTTCTGTCAGTGTTCACTTCCCCCTTTCGGGATCCCCACCTCACTGTCAGACGTGTTCTCCGCTGGACGTGTGGCACCCCTCCCGAAGAGTGTGGCCTTTGCCAGATGCCTCCAGGCCCTTCTGGAGCTGCTTTTTCCCCTGTTTTTTTTAAGACAGCGTTTCTCTAGATCAAGCTGGCCCAGAACTCACAGAGATCCTCCTGCCTCTGCCTCCTGAGTGTTGGGATTAAAGGCGTGTGCCACTACTGCTCATCCTTCATTTTGTTTTTTTGATCCAGAATGACCTTGATTTTATGATTTTCTTGCCTCCATCTCTGGTTTATGTGACTCTGGGGCTCAGACCCAAGGCTTCGGGTAAGCACTCTGCCAGCTGAGCCAATCCCAGTCTTAATTTTACTTTTCTTTCTTCCTTTTTTTTTTTTTTAATATTACAAAATAAACGACAGCAGTGAAAACTGGGTTGGAGAAATGGCTCAGCAGTTAAGAGCACTAGCTGCTCTCATGGAGGACCTGGACTCCATTCTCAGCACCCACATGGAGACTTACAACCAGCTGTAACTCTATTTGCAGGGGCCCAGGACCCTTCTTCTGGTTTCTGTGGGCATCAGGTGTACAAGTGATACACAAACATACAGTGCAGGCAAAACATCCATACACATAAAATAAGCAATAGGAAGTAACTGGGGTGATGGCTTCGGTGGTTAAGTTCTTACTCTTCTAGTAGAGTCTTGTGGGCCGCAAGACTATATTATAGGGATTCGGCTATGTATTAAAGCTATACCTAGAAATTTCAAGGCAGTTTTCTAGTGGGAAGCCATTTATCATGGAATATTTGGTGTTATTCAGCTTTAATATTCAGCTGCTCCTCGTTATGAATTTCTTGTGCTCATAATTCCCATAGAACATGTATGTGTGAGCATCCTGCTTGGGCCAGTACTTGGATAAGGTCACGTAGGCAAGGTCTTCTGCCTCTGAGCTCCCTGCTTCCTTTTTAGCATTTGAATTGGGTATCTGCCTTTTGCAAATATCCAAAAGGGGATTCATCCAAAGGTAGGGCCAGCTCCAAACAAAGCACTGAAGGACAAGCAAGGATCAGAATAGCTACCAGACCACCTGTTAGGCACCTAAAGTCCCTGAACTAAGGTAAAACTTCAAGGCAACCTGGCTCCTAGATGCATAGCTTTGCTTCTTGTGCAGAGGAAGCTCAGACCATCCCCTTCCTTCAGGCCTAGTGGCTCTCCAGAGCAACTGACTGAAAACAAAGGAGGTTTTTGCAGATCCAGATGGAGTGAAGAGTGAGGCGGAATTCCTGGTGGCAGAGAGTCGGTGGTGAGGAGAACAAGACAGTTTCTCTGGAGAGGGCAGACAGAACCGCATGGACAGAGAGAAGAGAGGAAGTCAGAGATTCTGTAGAGGGTGAGGCAGATCTCTTGTAGAGTTTTCTCAGAGCCAGGAGTAAGGAGCAAGGAGAGAAAGATGCAGGATGAAGGAACAGAGGACGAAGATGAGGTCAAAAGCATAGGAGCTTATAAAACTATGAGGACAGGAAAAGTGGGCACAGAGAGGAGCTGAGTGTGAGGATGGAGCTGAAGCTGTATAGACAGAACTTTGTCATAGAGGAATAAAGTAAACGAACAAAGAGCTTGCTGTCATTCATTCCCATACCATTGTTAGTGTCTCTCCTGGGCCCCCTGGGAAGAAAATTAAGAGACTGGACCTCAAAATTTCTGAAAGTAGAGGACTCAGTTTGGCTCCCAGCAGCATGTCACGTGACTCACAGCTGCCTGTGACTCTAGCCCAGGGCCTCTGACAACTACTGGCTTGTGCAGATACTCTGCCTACCCACTGTGCACAGACCTACAAATAGATACACACATATGCATAATTTAAAAAATAAAATAGAATCTTGTTCTTTTACTTTTGTGGGGGCGGGGGGGGGGGGCAGCGGCCAGGGGTTGCATGTGCCATAGTATGCCTGAGGAGGTCAGAGGACAATGGCGGCAGTTTTCTCCTTTTACCTTCTGGGTCCCAGGAATCAACCTAGGTCTTTAGACTTGGCAGCAAGTGCCTTTACCCAATGAGCCATGTCACAGGTAACCAAGGCTGACCTCAAACTTCTGACACTTCAACCTCTACCTGGGGCCTGGGTTATAAATGTGCGCCACCACAAGCAGTTTCTCCTCGAGTCTTACGTTAAGTTGTAATTTATTTCCAGGTCAAAGAGCAGCATTGGATGCAGAGGAAATGGCTGACTTTTATAAGGAGTTTCTGAGTAAGAATTTTCAGAAGCACATGTGTTATAACCGGTAAGTGTTTGCATCTTCCCTGAAGTTTAGTTAGCATATCCACATTTGCTTATTTTCTTACCTTATTTAAAGCTTTGATGTTTTCAGTAGAGGTGGAGGTCACATGATTTTGTGATCTTCACTTTTTGCCATTTTAGCTATACTTGTCAGCCTCTGTTGGTGCATGGCACCTACTGTCCACCCGGCCTTAGGTCAGTAAGGAGGTCCTGAAGACTTCTTAAGTGTCTTTCCTTGGAGGTCATGGTCAGTCAGGATGTTGCCTGTGTGGAAACAAGGAGGTCAGCAGGAAGCTGCCAGGCTGTGTTTCATGGTTACCTCTCCACAGAGTCTTATCTAAATGTTGCTGGGTTCAGAGAGGATCTTATGAATCCTTTAGTAAAGGCCAGAGGAAGATTAGAGCCCTCCATACATAGGGAAACTGGCTGTATATGTGTATGGTCAGCTGGGGGAGGTCAGGAGTCAGGTGACCATACCTCCAGGGGGAGCTGCTGTTTGATCAGGCGCTGTCCCTGTGGTTGACTGGGGTGCTCTCTTTCCCTGTAGAGACTGGTACAAGCGTAATTTTACCATCACGTTCTTCATGGGGAAAGTGGCGCTGGAGAGGATGTGGAGCAAACTGAGACAGAAGCAGAAGACGAGCAGTTAGGAGCCCGCCTGGGTCTGCCCTGCCAGCACCCAGCTTCCATTTATGAGGGCCCTGGAAGCTGTAAGTGAGCACAAGTCCCACAGCTTGGCCCGTCCGTGTTCAGGACTTCCCTGACTCTGCATCCCCAGCTGGTTTATTCTTGACGAGATATACTGTATATTTGTTGACTGTGTCTTGAATTATACCAGTTCAGAATATGGCAGTGTCAAAATATGAATAAAGTTTCACTGAAACAATTAGACCAGTGCAAGTTAGGAGTGACCTTCAGCTGGTTGTGGTGGTGGGGGGAGCCATGGATCTGAGCCCCGACACAGTAAAGTCAAACCCAGCAGATGCAGCGTCTTTGTGTGAAAGACTGCTGATCACAGGGTGATGTCATCATTTTATTTTTATTTTATTTTTTAATGTATACAGTGTTCTGTCTGCATGTATGCCTGCAGGCCAGAAGAGGGCACCAGAACTCATTAGGGATGGTTGGGAGGCACCATGTGGTTGCTGAGAATTGAACTCAGTGCTCCTAACCACTGAGCCACCTCTCCAGCCCTGATGTCATCATTTTAGAGTGAGGTAACCCCTCAGCTTCCAAAGACACTGCATAACAGCCATCATCACCATAGTTAGAGAGAACATGGAAACGTGGTGATTGTGGGCTGATGTGATGTCTCCCATTGAATAGCTCCCAGAGCTCAGATGCTGAAGACTTAGTTCCCAGCTGACAGCACTGCGGGAGGTGGTGGGACCTGTTGGAGCCTAGCTGGAGGTAGTAGGTCAAAGGACATCCCCTCAGGGGGGCTAGGAGGAGTCCAGCCCCTTCTTTCTCTCTCTCTTCTTGGCTACCACAAGGTAAACAGCCTCTGCCACATGCTCCTTGACGTGAGGTGGCCCTTCCCCAGCAACGCAAAGCCCGTGGCCAAGTGACCTGAACTGTGAGACCGTTCCCTTTCCTCCTCTACGTTAATGTCTCCAGGAGTTTGTCAGCAGCAAGAAGCTAATGCTGTCGTCCTGTGTGCTGCTACTGATGGGCCTTGAAACCCTGTGCAGACCCCACACCACCAGTGCTTTGACCGTTTGCCCCAGAACTGTCGCTCTGAAACGGGGGTATCGCCATTGTTGGACGGATGGCCCCTCAGTGGGTGGTGCGGTGACCAGTCCAAGTGGGTACGCCGTGTGAGGGCGGCACCGTCCTCCGGGCTCGGGAAGCCAGCTGCTTGTTCAGGAAGAGAAACTAAAGCAGGCTTGAGTCAGGTAGGCAGGTAGCTTAGAGCCTTTGGAAGCAGATTCCCAGGCCCTACATCCAGGCCAGGGCTGTGCCACGCGCCCAAGCATCACGTCAGCAGCTCCCTCTGGAGAAACCGCTGCCTTCATGCAGATGGCGGCCCTTGTCAGGTCCTCACCTGGTCCTAACTACAAGCACAGGACTCAGCAAGAGGTGACAGGGACATGAGACTCATTACCCCAGCATCTCAGGTTGAAGGCCAAAGCTACCATCCCCTCCTCCTTTTAATAGTTGTTTGTTAGTGTGTGTGTGTGTGTGTGTGTGGTGAATGAGTGTGTGGTGAAAGTGTATGTGTGTGGTGAGTGTGCGGTGAGAATGTGTGTGTGTGTGGTGTGACTGTGGTGTGTGTGAGTGTGTGTGTGTGGTGTGACTGTGGTGTGTGTGAGTGTGTGTGTGTGGTGAGTGTATGTGTGGTGAGAGTGTGTGTGTGTATAGTGTATGTGTGAGTATGCATGTGTGAGTGTGTGTGGGTGTGTGTGGTGTGTGTTTGTGTGTGTGTGGTGAGAGTGTATGTGTGTGTGTGAGTGTGTGTGTGTGGTGAGAGTGTATGTGTGTGTGTGAGTGTGTGTGTGTGGTGAGAGTGTGTGTGTGTATGTGTGTGTGTGGTGAGAGTGTATGTGTGTGTGTGTGAGTGTGTGGTGTGTGTGTGTGAGTGTGTGTGGTGAGTGTGTGTGTGGTGAGAGTGTGTGTGTGAGTGTGTGTGGTGAGAGTGTATGTGTGTGTGTGTGTGTGTGTGTGTGGTGAGTGTGTGTGTGTGTGGTGAGAGTGTATGTGTGTGTGTGTGTGTGTGGTGAGTGTGTGTGTGTGTGGTGAGAGTATATGTGTGTGTGTGGTGAGAGTGTGTGTGTGTGTGTGTGTGTGTGTGTGTGTGTGTGTGTTTAACCAAACAGCTCTCAGTTGCTCTCCCGAGATTGAGCTCTGGTTAGCAGGTTGTGGTGAGAACCTCCACCTGCTGAGGAGCCGACACCCTGGACTGAGGGCCGCTGCTGTCTGAAGAGTGGCCTCACGTGAGCCAGACAGCAAGCCTAAGCTAATCCGTTACCACGGCCGGCAGATGGCCTCTCTCCTCTGCATTGGACCTTGTGGTGGCGGTAGCATGAAGCTTAGAAGCAGCCCCTTTCACAGAGGACCAAGGCTGTCGGGAAGGCATCGCTCAGCCTTGACCTTGGGATCTGACCCAGAACAGGGAGCAGACCCTTGAGGTGTGTGTGTGACAGTCACTCTGGTCTCACTCTTCACTTTCCTGTCACGGTGGTGTGCGCTCCCTGCAGTGCCCTGTCCTCCCCCGTGGGGTGTGAACCCGTGAAAGCCTGAGCGGGAAGAAATCGTTTTTGTCAGATGTTCTCACAGTTATGTAAGAGGAGCAGACGCGAACACGTGCTCTTCCTCAGGCCGAGGCCCGGCTGGCTTTGTGAGGAAAGTTGTTAGTCCAAGAACCGTGGAGCAGGAGTTTGTGCGAAGGGTACACACTAGTGCCCCTGTGGTGGTCTCCTGAGATTGTCCTGGTGTGGGCCATGAGACAAGTTCAGCTTGATCCTAGAAGTGCACTGAGTGCATGACAAGAAACGCTACACAGTTGGGTGGTGGCGCACGCCTTTAATCCCAGCACTCGGGAGGTAGAGCTAGCAGATCTCTGTGAGTTTGAGGGCAGCCTGGACTACCAAGTGAGTTCCAAGGACAGCCAGAGCTATTATACAGAGAAATCCTGTCTCAAAAAACCAAATAAATAAATAAATAATAAAATAAAATAATAATAATAAAACAAAAAAAATAGAAAGAAAGAAACTTAGGGTCTGGCCTCAAACTCACAGAGATCCTCCTGCCTCTGCCTCCTGAGTGCTGGGATTAAAGGCGTGCGCCACCACCGCTCGGCTAGAGAGTGTATCAAATGTAGACCAGGCCGGCCTCTAACTCACAGAAGTCCTTCTGTCTCTGCCTCCTGAGATCACAAATACTTGCAAAATAAATTGTAATTGCAGTTATTTTGACTATAAAATTTGTTTTGTTTTTTAAAAGTCATACCAAGGTGAGTCTCTTGCATAGCCACATTCTAATAAAGTATTACTGTAGAGATTTTTTTGTTTAGGGTGGTCTTTTAAAAGTTCTAATTTATTTTGTGTGTGTGTGTTTGATGTGGGAGGGTGCAGGCATTACGTCATGGCCTTAGTGTGACGGTCAGAGGACAACTTTCACAAGTTGCTTCTTTCTTGTTGAGGCTGGGTTCCTCTTGTTTCTGCGACTGCACCACACACACCGTACGTACACACACACACACACACACACACCGTACACACACCGTACGTACACACACACACACACCGTACACACACACACACACACACACACACACACACCGTACACACACACACACACACCGTACACACACCGTACGTACACACACACACACACACACACACCGTACACACACACACACACCGTACACACACCGTACGTACACACACACACACCGTACACACACACCGTACACACACACACACACACCGTACACACACCGTACACACACACACACACACACCGTACACACACACACACCGTACACACACACACACCGTACACACACACACATACACACACACACACACACACCCCACCTCCCCAGCTGATTCTCATGTTTCTGTCTTCCATCTTGCTGTAGGAGTAAAGGGTTACGGATGCATACCACTTCATCCAGTGGCAAGGTACGTTACCTGCCGGGTCATGTCCCCAGGCTGAAGCATTAGCTTTTTGAAACAAAGTCTTTCTGTGTAGCTCTGGTGGGTCTCCAGCTTAATATGTAGCCCAGACTGTCCTTCTTATGTCTCACCTGTCACCTCTGACTCCAGAATGCTGGGATTGTAGGCTTCTACCCCCAGCTTGTGGACTTTTACATGGCTATGACATAAAGGCTGTCTCAGCAACATGCTTAATAATGATTTCCCTACAAAACACTTCCTTAATAAATCTCAATTTTTATTTTTTTTTATATATTTAGATTGTGTGGTAGCCTTAGAAAGTCTCAGAAGGGGGCTGGAGATGGCTCACTGGTTAAGAACACGGGCTGCTCTTCCAGAGGACCTGGGTTCAATTCCCAGCACTCACATCATCACTCACAACCATCTCTAACTCTGATTATGGGGATCTGAAGCCCTCTTCTGACCTGTGAGGGTACCAGGCACACACGGTGCACAGATGCACATGCAGGGGAGACACTTACATACTTAAACCAACAGCAGTCTCAAAACATAGCAGTGACTCCTCTGTGTGGGTTGTACTTCAAGACACTGCCCTTCATCTGCTCCCGGTCTCCCAGGAGGGGACTGCTGTGGTCCTCAGAAACACAGGAGCCCAGGAGGGGACTGCTGTGGTCCTCAGAAACACAGGAGCCCAGAGGGGACTGGTGTGGTCCTCGGAAACACAGGAGCCCAGAGGGGGACTGCTGTGGTCCTCGGAAACACAGGAGCCCAGGAGGGGACTGCTGTGGTCCTCGGAAACACAGGAGCCCAGGAGGGGACTGCTGTGGTCCTCGGAAACACAGGAGCCCAGAGGGGACTGCTGTGGTCCTCAGAAACACAGGAGCCCAGGAGGGGACTGGTGTGGTCCTCGGAAACACAGGAGCCCAGGAGGGGACTGCTGTGGTCCTCGGAAACACAGGAGCCCAGGAGGGGACTGGTGTGGTCCTCAGAAACACAGGAGCCCAGGAGGGGACTGCTGTGGTCCTCAGAAACACAGGAGCCCAGGAGGGGACTGCTGTGGTCCTCAGAAACACAGGAGCCCAGAGGGGGACTGCTGTGGTCCTCGGAAACACAGGAGCCCAGGAGGGGACTGCTGTGGTCCTCGGAAACACAGGAGCCCAGGAGGGGACTGCTGTGGTCCTCGGAAACACAGGAGCCCAGGAGGGGACTGCTGTGGTCCTCAGAAACACAGGAGCCCAGGAGGGGACTGGTGTGGTCCTCGGAAACACAGGAGCCCAGGAGGGGACTGGTGTGGTCCTCGGAAACACAGGAGCCCAGGAGGGGACTGGTGTGGTCCTCGGAAACACAGGAGCCCAGAGGGGGACTGGTGTGGTCCTCGGAAACACAGGAGCCCAGAGGGGGACTGGTGTGGTCCTCGGAAACACAGGAGCCCAGAGGGGGACTGGTGTGGTCCTCAGAAACACAGGAGCCCAGGAGGGGACTGCTGTGGTCCTCAGAAACACAGGAGCCCAGGAGGGGACTGGTGTGGTCCTCGGAAACACAGGAGCCCAGAGGGGGACTGGTGTGGTCCTCGGAAACACAGGAGCCCAGAGGGGGACTGGTGTGGTCCTCGGAAACACAGGAGCCCAGGAGGGGACTGCTGTGGTCCTCAGAAACACAGGAGCCCAGGAGGGGACTGCTGTGGTCCTCAGAAACACAGGAGCCCAGGAGGGGACTGCTGTGGTCCTCAGAAACACAGGAGCCCAGAGGGGGACTGCTGTGGTCCTCGGAAACACAGGAGCCCAGGAGGGGACTGGTGTGGTCCTCGGAAACACAGGAGCCCAGGAGGGGACTGCTGTGGTCCTCGGAAACACAGGAGCCCAGGAGGGGACTGCTGTGGTCCTCGGAAACACAGGAGCCCAGGAGGGGACTGGTGTGGTCCTCGGAAACACAGGAGCCCAGGAGGGGACTGGTGTGGTCCTCGGAAACACAGGAGCCCAGGAGGGGACTGGTGTGGTCCTCGGAAACACAGGAGCCCAGAGGGGGACTGGTGTGGTCCTCGGAAACACAGGAGCCCAGAGGGGGACTGGTGTGGTCCTCGGAAACACAGGAGCCCAGAGGGGGACTGGTGTGGTCCTCAGAAACACAGGAGCCCAGGAGGGGACTGCTGTGGTCCTCAGAAACACAGGAGCCCGCTGGCTTCCATTAAGTCATAACAGGAACTGGTCACAGGCCTTTAATTAATACTGGTGCTATGCAGGAAGCCTGGTTCTGCCTCTAGGCCTCAGAGCATTTGACCAGAACAGTACACAGGCTGCAGAGCCTCGGGTGGCCTCAGGGTGGCTCTAGGCTCTTCCAGAATGCAGAAACTTCAGTGACTAATAGTGATGTCTTCCAAAAAGACCTCTGCAGGCTGGAAGGGCTGAGGCTGGAGGATTTTAGGCAGCTGTCTGTGGAGTGACAGGTCTCTGGCATGCCCTTCAGGGACACTCCTAGTCCTATGACCGGATGCAGAGAAGCCTTGCACCAAGGATTTTCTCATTGTTCTGAACCTTAGCCCTTTGTCCCTGAGGCCAAGCCACGTCTTCCCACCGCCCTGAAAGCCAAGACCCGTGTGAGAAGGGACTGGTTCTGAGATACTGAAGCTTCCAACCCCGAGAAGAACAGCCAGGCACAGTCCCCATCTGCCGTCCTTGATGGTTCCCGTAAACTTGCAACAGAGATCTTGGACTTCCTGTTATTGGGGAAGTCATGTGGGAAGTGGGATGACCAAGTTTTGTGTTTGCCGATATATTTTGCTACAGTTCGCTTCTTAAAACAGGAATATAAAACACCCCCACCTTCTGACGGTTTCTAAGTCACACTGTACCATGCTCTGCCTCTGAAGCAGCCCCCGAAGCTGTGGCTGCAAAGGAACATGTCTCATGAAGCGGATTAGTTTTCCAAGGAGCGGTGGGAACCAGCGATGTCTGGGGCTCGCGTGTCGCCGGCCTTTCCCTCTGTTGGTTTCCCATCAATGCCTGCTAAATGTTTTAATTTTTAAAAAATATGTTTAATGCTTTGGGAATGTCATACACTGTGTTGACTGTATCCACGCCCACCCCAGCTCTCCCTCCTCCCTCCTCCTTTTTCCTTCCCAAGTTTGTTTTGTCCGCGGCTCTTGGGAGTGGGACCTGCCCTGGAGTGTTGTCTGCCCAGCAGGGAGTCACATCCCTAGAGAAAGCTGCCTTTCCCTCTCCCAGCAGCCATCAAATGCGGAGAGCTCCTCAGCTGGGGTGGGACCTCTCTCCCACCTCCCTCCTCCATGCTGAGGTTTTGTCAGGAGATTTGAGCTCGCACAGGTCTTGTGCAAGCTGTGGTCAACCACTGCAGGTTCCTGTGTGTCCAGAAAATGTCATTTACGTAAAGCCGCCCACCACCTCTGAGCCTTGTTTCTTTGTTTGTTTATTTAGACAGGGTCTCTCTCTGTAGCCCTGGCTATCCTGGATCTCATTATGTAGACCAGTCTTGTGGTGACTTTTTTGTTGTTGTTGTTTGTTTTTTTGAGACAGGGTTTCTCTGTGTAGCTGTGGAACCTGTCCTGGAACTCGCTTTGTAGACCAGACTGGCGTTGAACTCACAGAGATCCATTAAAGACGTGCGCCACCACTGCCTGGCATTTGTGGTGATATTTTGTTTGTGCTCTAACGAATAAAGCTTTCCTAAAGATCAGAGAATGGAGCTAGCCAGTAGTTAACTGTAGAGGTCTAGAGGTCTGTACAGACAGGAGACAGAAAGTGATGTGGCTGGGCAGAGAGAGGAATATAAAGTAGATGGACACAGGAGCTCGGCTCCTTTTCCGATCTGAAGAGTTGTGGAGGTAAGGGGTGACTGGCTGCTCCTTTATTTCTTTGATCTTTCAGCATTTACCCTGATATCTGACTCCAGGTTTTTATTATTAAGACCAATTAGAATCTCTTCAGTCTTTTCACAGTGGCATCCATGTTTTGTTATGATCAGCATGTGACCTTCATCCTGAACAACTGTTCCTGGCTTCCCAACTGTATACTTCTACCTGTGACTGCGTCCTGCTCCCCCCATCCAAGCACCCCGAATTTGAGGGGTACAGGATGGCTAGAGATCTGCACTCTTGGACTCACCCAGCAGTACCCAATACTCACTCTTTAGGACACATGGGCTACATACTTTGTCACTTTATTGTTGCTCCTTTTATGGACTCATAGACCAGAGGATTTGGGATTAAAAAGATAATGGTACATAATAAAGAACCCACCAGAACCACTGCAGAATCTACTGATGTGGTTTTGTGTTTACATCCCCCATTAATTGTAGGTGTGTGTGTTTGTCCACATGCAAGTACATGTGAGGGCTCAAGGTCAGCCTGGGGTGGTGTTCTTGGGA